TTTAGCATACGTGCCCCAGGCGACCCTGTTCCCTGTTGCAGCTGGCTGGTGGACCCTATTTTGGGAATCAGTGCTGAGCAGTCATTTCGCAGACTTGCTTGTAAGTCCCCCGGGGATCTTGTTAACCTGCAGGTTGTGACTCAGCAGGTCTGGAGTGGAGCCAAGGTTCCCATTTCTCTCAAGCTCCCAGGTGATGCTGGTGACGCCGGTCCCGGGACCACGGTTTGAGGAGTGCGGTTCTCGGTGGGTTCCTGGTAACTGGTTGGGAAAGGCCCACGCACACCTACACAGTCTGGGGGTGGGCCCCGGCCGTCTGTGTGTTAGCAGCACCCCCATTGGATTCGGGAGTGCCATGAGGCTCGAGACGCACCGCTAGATTACCGTGAGGCTGAAGGAAGCCGGCTGGGGGAGGAGGCGGGTAGAGTGTCGGGGAAGTAGAGCTCACGGCAAAGCCCATTCTGTTCCCTCTGTCCCAGTTTCCCCTCCCCCAGAGACAGAGCTGAGGCCCCTCGGACTTCGGATGGAAGAAACCTTCCTCCCTGTGGGTGTTGGGCATGAAGGCGTTTCCTCCTGGATCAAGGCGGGGGGGGGGTCCCCAGTCGGCTGGTTTCCCCAGCACAAGGTGCAGCCAGTGGTGAGGGTCCCTGGGCAGTGGCGGTGGGGCCGGAGGGCGTCCGTGAGGCTGGGAGCTGGTCCCGAGGAGCGGGCAGGGCAGGGAGGAGCAGGCGGCTCTGGGGGCTCGGGGCAGGGTGTGGGGGAGCCAGAGTGCCAGTGTCCGGGGCACATGTGACAGGTGGCACGGATTTGTCAGTGCACAGCCAGGTCCCGGCTGGGGCCTCTGGGCTGAGCTGCGACTGGGCCGTTCACATGCTGGGTGCCCAGGAGCGGTGGGTAGAGGGGTGTGGGTTCGCTCCCCACCTTCTCCCTGGGCCTCTGCTGCAGAGAAGTGAGTCCACACGGCTGGAAAGCAGCAGAAAGTCCCCAGGTTTGGATTAAATGTGCTCAGGGAGGGAGGGTGAAGGAGAGGGTGGGTGGAAACCAGAGGGCCCCACGGGGCTGGGAAGTGGGGGCTGGAGACCACACTCCTCAGCTCTAGGCCCCACCTCTGTGCTCTGCCCCCCCCCCCCACAACCCCCCAGGTGTCCTCACGTGCTGCTGGGACCCAAGCAGGGAACTCCTCTTGCTGTCTCCCTCCGATGCCCCCCCCCCCCCCCCCGGGCTCCTCGTGTACGATGGGAACTGGCCCACAGGGAAAGCGATAGGGGACTGGCTTTTCTTGAGGCCTGGCCTGGTGTCTGGGATCAGCCGTGTGGGTCTGACCCTGACCCTGACCCAAGGTGGCCACACTTGGCCCAAGTGCCCAGCACAGCTGCTGGCCGCACAGGCTTCGGAGCCAGGCCCGCGGTTCCAGGGACACAAATCCACACACGTCAGACCGATTTGTGGTGGATTTTCACGTTACGGTTCCACACCCAGTGATTACGACCCAGAGTCTCCCGCTCACCCCTGGGAGTATCTGGCGAACATCCGTGCGAATTCCGCTAGGGCGGAACGTTAACTGGCCGGCACTCAGGTCAGCCTGGCCCCAAGCCTAGCTGTCGGGGTCTCCCTGCGAATCACGGCACCTGAGGCTGGGGCGCCCGTCTCCAGCGCGAGGGGATCACAGGCCTGGGAGCCCAGGCCCTGCCCCCGCCCCAGCTGCTGTGGGCTCCTGCCAGGCTGCCCTCCGGGATTGCTCTGTTCAGAGCGACCCCAGAGAAAATGGCCTCTTCTGGGCAAAGGGACTCAGAAGGTTTCCTGCCCGCTCTGGGTTTTCCCCGCAGCCTTCCAGCCCAGCGGTCCCAGGTTCCCCGCCTCCAAACCTGCCTGCCTCCTTCCCACTGCCCCTCGTGCACCTGTTCACCCAGAGACAGGCAGAGACGGTGGTACCTCCACTCTGGATGCTTCTGAGAAAATTGCCTCCACCCCGCCCAGCCCGCGAGGGCCCCTGTTTTAGGACCTGTTTAGCTCCGGCTGGGGAATCGGATGCAAGGACATCATCCTTTTCTTTCACTCCCAGGGGCCCGCGGGCATATAGACGAGGGGGGCTGGATGTCCGTCTGCTCCAAGAACAGTCAAGGCCTGGGTTTTCACGGTTGGAGAGGCAGGCTTGTCTCACGCCCTTGTCTTACATCCTTGGGTTTCTCTCCCCGCTTGGGGGAGCTGGGGGCTCGGTGTAGACAGGGCGGGTGCAGGTCAGAGGAGACTCAGGAAACCCCAGTTGGCTCTGGGCCATTTGGCAGAGGTTCTGGGCAAGAGTGACGAGCTCCCTACTTGGGGACTGGCTGGTACGCGATTGTTAGCGATGATAATAATAGGGACAGCGCCTCTTCCTTTACGATGCCCCTTCACCCGAGAGCGGCCTCATCCGCGGGACAGGCTGTGTCCTCACCGCGGCCCCATCGGTAGGTCGTAACTGCTGGCGTTTACAGGTGAGGGAAATAGACACTGCCTGGTTAGCCGCGTTCTCGGTGCCACACGGGATCATTATGTAAGTGTCGGGACTTACGTAACACTTTGAGACAGCGGCCTAATATTTTTAGCCCGATGTGGTCACGGCTGAAAACATGATGTGAGTCCACGGAGACTGGGTCTCACCCACGCGCCCTGCAAGCTGCACCCGGCCCTGGGACCTTCCTGGTGGCGTGGTGTGGCTCTCAGTATGTTCGGTCCCGGGACATGTGGTGGGAGACGGGGCGGGTCTGCAGGTGGGGGCGCCTTCTCACCACCTTCCCCTCCCCCAATCCCAGGGGATCCCATCCTGCCGCTCCTTCACACCCCCTCCGTGGGGGCTGGGAGAGCGTCCGCGCCCTGCAGCCCCCCCCATCCCTCAGCGGTGACCTAGGTGCCGCCTCACTACCCGCTCCTGTGACGAGTCAGGTTACCAGTCGGCAGACCACGGGTGGGCTACGGCCGGGGGTGCATGGACACACCAAGGAGAGGGGCGGTGCAGAAACGCAGTCAAACCACCCTAGTGGCGGGGGGCGGGGGGCGGCACGCGTGGAAGGAAGGAAAGTTCTTGCCTGGTCTGGGGGCAGGTGCGGGGGCCGGACCGGTAGAGGCAGGAGAGAGAAGGGAAGAGTGGCCCCAAGCGGCCGTGGAGGAGAAATGGCAGCATTTGGAAGCTGGCTGAGCCTGAGCGGGCGAGGGCCCTGGGGGGGTGGGGGGTGGGGGGCCCAGGCGGTGAGGGGCCCGGGGGTTGGTGAGGGGTCCAGGCGGTGAGGGGCCCGGGCAGGTGAGGTTCACCCACCGAGTCCCCTACCCTGGAAAGTGGCCCTTTGAGCTCGACTCCAGGGCTCCCGGGTGTGGGCCGGTGGACGCGGGAGTCAGGGACACGCCACGTGGGTACAAAGTGCGTTTCTTACACGCGTGCCTGGCACGTGTCTCCTCTGCATTGTCACGTGGGGCGGTTAACACCGTGGCCCGAGGGGAGGGGCCCGCAGGCGAGTCCCGTACCCGGATGGGGCGGCCGGAGGCGGTTTGTTTCCTGCCCAGAGGAAGCCTGGTGGGTGACCGTGGGCTGCGTCCCCAGCGCCAGGCGGCCATGCTGCAGACACGTGTGCTTGTTCGGTCCCTACTGAGTCCCAATAGCACCTGCGAACAGATGAGCAAAGACAGCGCTGGTGGGGGGGCAGGTGCATGTGTGTTGGGGGCCGGAGAGGGGTGCCGACGCTGTGGGCCTGGGGCTGCAGGGTGGCGCGGGGTGAGGAGGGGTGGGCTGGGCGAGGCTTCTGTTAGGAAGCGGCATTCGTGGTGAGCCTTCCGGCCGGGGTGGTGGGGAGGAGTGTCCCAGGGCCCCGAGGCGCTCGTGCCCCACTGAGGCACCGAGGCACAGCACGCGCTCCTACGTGACGGGGATGCAGACCCACTTTCTCCCGTGCCGTCACCTTGGTTACCGTCCCAACGTTGACTTCCGCTAAGATGTACGCACGCTGGGGAGTTTATAAACCTTGTGGCATTTACACCCACCCGCGTGGGCACGCTGGGGCCGGGGAGCTTGGCCTTCTGCTGGTCCCAGCATCGGACCCTTCTTGGTCCGGGCTGGCCTCCGTCTTGCGGGGGCCGGCCTCCCTGCCTTCATCGTCACTACATGTTCTTTCTCTCGGGCTCGCCCTGGTCCAGCCGCCACCAGGAAAAATGCCGTTTCTCAGGGCTTTCCCAGCCCTCCCGGGTCGGACGTAAATACGCGTGTTTACGCGGCGTACGGGTTCGCACGGGAGGGCGCGCAGGGCTCGGAGAGCAGGAGCCGGGCGGTTGCAGATTCGCTGGAACCTGTATCGGCGCGTCTCTTCCCGGGCCCGCCTCCCGCCTCCCGTGACCCCCGGCGGCAAGCGCTCTCGCCTGGTACGTAGGGCGCCGAGAGCCCGGGTCCACCGGGCGTGGGCGGGAAGCGTGGCTCTGGGACCGCTGAGAGGAAAGCGTAGCAGAAACGGAGCGTAGCCTTGGGGCGGTGACTGGGTCATGAGCACGCTGGCGGCCCGTCGGGCAGCAGTGACTTCCCTCCGTCTAACGCGGGCCTGTGCCTCTGCTCCCCCTTCAGCTGGTGCTGCCCGAATACTCCATCCACAGCCTCTTCTGTATCATGTTCCTGTGTGCGCAGGAGTGGCTCACCCTGGGGCTGAACATCCCCCTGCTCTTCTATCACTTCTGGAGGTAAGTCTGCCGGGGACGGGTGTGTGCTTCCTCTGCCCTCCAGAGACCGTGGCCCCGGAGGCCCCAGCCGCCTCATGCCTTCCTCTCTTCCGTCTGGGGACCCGTTCTCCGCAGCCTTCTCGTGGAGCTCCTCCCGCACGGCAGCCTCGTCAGGGAAGGCCCCTCTTCTTCCCTGGTCGGCTCACCGCGGCCTCGAACCTCACACATCCCCGTTACAAGCAGCTGCAGCGTTTTCACAGAAGTCGCAAAGTGGAGAGAACCGCTTTGCGTGGATTAACGGATACGCAAGAGTCGGCACGTCCTTGCGATGGCGTGTCACTTGGTGGTAAAAGGCGGTGATACGCGCTGTAACATGGCCGGACCTCGAAAATGCAGGTCAAAGAAGCGAGTCATTAAAGGCCATTTCTGTGAAACGTCCAGAACGGGCAGCTCTGAAGAGAAGGGAGGAGGGTTGGGGGCTGGGACAGAGGGCGGGGGACCATCGATAGGTATAGGGCTTTCTCCTTCGGGCGTGAGTGTCCTGAAATTCGATCCTGGTGACAGCTGGGCCATTGCTAAAGATCCCTGAACTGTATATTTTAAAAAGGTGAAGTTTTTGGTATGTGAATTATGTCTTTTTTTTTTTTTCAAATTTGTAAAAAATATTTATCCTCCTTTTTGAGAGCAAGAGACAGAGCATTAGTAGGGCAGGGACAGAGAGAGAGGGAGACACAGATACTGATGCAGGCTCCAGGCTCCGAGCTGTCAGCACAGAGCCGGACGCAGAGCTCGAACCCACGAGCCATGAGATCATGACCTGAGTCAAAGTTGGCCGCTTAACTGACAGACCCCCGGGCGCCCCTGTGAATCAAGCTAATAAAAGATGAGCATCTGTCAGATGGGCTGGATTTTCTGGGACCCCGCCCAGAGTTGCCCAGGGCCTGTTCAGCCCCGCCTCTGTGCGGGTCACAGTCTATGTCCTTGTCACCTGTCCTGCTCCTTGTGAAGTCCTCTCTGTGAGAGGAATCACCCTGAGACCCTTGCAGTAACGAGGTGTCTTTCCAGGCGCCAGAGTCATTGTGGACTCACAAAGTCGTATCCTCAGGGCTACCGCTCCTCCCAAAGTGGGAGGCCGAGCCAGAGAAGGGGTCCTCGACGGCCCCCAGGCCCGAGGCCAGGACGTTCTCCTGAGCTCAGCCCCTCCTGTGCCCGCTCTCAGAGCGCTTTACCGAAAGCGGCCTCAGCACCTGCATCTGCCACCTGCTTGCAGGCTGTTGTGTCCAGCGTCCCCCATGGTGGTCCCAGTACCCCGTGGATGCAGGCTGTGTGTCCAGCGTCCTCCACGGTGGTCCCAGGAGCCCGTGGAGTGGCCACTTTCGCCCCCATTTTACACATGACAAAGCTGAGGCTCAGAGAGGTCAGTGGCCGGCTGGAGGAAGGTCGGTCTGGTGGCCTGTGAGCCCCAGAGCCTGGCTCTCCCCACTGAGCCGTCCTGCGTCCACTGGGCGAGGTCGCCTAGAACATTCTCCGCCAAGGTCCGTAGGTTTTGGATCTGCCCCCAGGGAGGCAAGGAGCGCAGCCTGCGGCGTCCTCCCGGCACACGGTGGTGACTGACACCGTCACTGTCCTCTGACGGGGGTGAGGACGGGCTGGAACGCCAGCCCCCACAGTGCTGGTTAGAAGGTGTTCTTCTGAGCCTCTCTCCCCGCCTGGACACACAGCATCCGCCTGAGAGGCCAGAGGTCGGCCCCCCCAGCGGCCCCCACCCCCCACCCAGCCTCCCGCACCGGAGTCCCCACCTCCCGTGAACGAGGCCGGTGGTGTTTCCAGGTAGACAAAGTTAGCTTTAACACTCCCCCCGCCCCCCGCCCCATCTATTCCCTGTGCTTTCCCTTCCCTGGTTCCCGGCTCCCTCACTGCTCTCCCCCCGCCATGGCCAGGGTTCTCTGGCTGCTCTGGGTCCTTCCAGCAAGAAGACAAGTGATGTGAACCATTCCCACTCCAGTGAGGACATGACGTCCCTCCTGTAGTGTTCAGGATTCTATTTTATTGTTTTCTTAAAGTTTTTATTTATTTATTTCGAAGGGGGGTGGAGAGCGAGAATCCCAGGCAGGCTCTGTGCTGTCGGCACAGGGCCCGACGCGGGGCTCGAACCCATGAACCGTGAGCTCGTGACCTGAGCCAGAGTCGGGTGCTTAACCGACGGACCCACCCAGGTGCCCCCGGAATTCAGGATTTTGACAGAGGGTCTGGGGGGAGGACGGTGTGAAAACAGCCAGTGGTAGTTAAGCGAGTGTGGTCGGTGGCATTGCGGCCCTCTCTGTGCGTAGCACCCCATACCTGTGTGGATGCCCATGTGGGTGTGCACTGTGGACCCCCCCACACCCCTGTGCTGTGGACCCCCCACACCTGGAGGAAGGAGACTCTTCTCTCTGTCTCCAGGCACCAGGTGATGCGTCCTCCTTCTGTTGTGTAAGTGGGTGGAATCCCTGTGATGCCGGGGGACCTCGGCGTCCGGGAGCAGCCACGGGCCGGGCCGGGCGGTGACTCCAGTCGGCGAAGGCAGACGCCCGCTCGGCGGAGACCCCCGGACACAGTCCTGCGTCAGGGGGGCTTCCCCGGACGCCCTCACATCCCTGCCCAGCCTCGGGGCCAAGGATGCCGTGTCCTCTTCTCCGCAGGTACTTTCACTGTCCGGCAGACAGTTCCGAGCTGGCCTACGACCCGCCCGCGGTCATGAACGCAGACACCCTGAGTTACTGTCAGAAGGAGGCCTGGTGCAAGCTGGCGTTCTACCTGCTGTCCTTCTTCTATTACCTCTACTGGTGAGTTTCTGCCCCTCCTGACGCTTTCACTCCTGCAGCAAAGGAAGCAGGTTTTTTGCGGGGGGGGGGGGGGGCCGTGAGCGTGGGGGTCACAGCCTGGCGGGTATGACGCCAGCCACCTCACTCTGGGTCGGGGGCGACGGCTCGTGCCCAAAGGCAGAGGTCCTCGCCTGCAGGCGGGCGCGTCCTTAGGGCCACACGGTGCACCTCTGAGGAGGCGGTTGGGGACGTGTGGCCGCCACTCCTTCCCCACAGGGCTCCCTCCACAGCTCGGCCATTCGGGCCCAGCCTTGTGGCCCCTAGTCCACATGTAAGCATCCGGGGAACCAGAACGGGGACTCTGCGTGGCAGTCACGCTCCCGGAAGGGGCACGCTGGGTCATTACATGCGCACGCTCACAATTCTCCTGATGGTCTGTAGCCTCGTGCTAATCAGGTAAAACTGACTTTGCTGACTTGGCGATTGTTCAGGAGCCTCCCCCCGCCTTGGGTAGAGTGTCCTACCCAACAGATGGCGTAAACAGGATGCCTTTGGTGGGGGGGGGGTGCCTTTTCTTAAAGCGTCCCTCTCTGGTTCCTCTTTGGGCTCGTCTCTGGGGACCTCACCTGTCACCTTGCCACCTTGCGGTTACCTGCGGCCACGAAACCGCCAGCATCCCAGTGCTGCCTCCAAACTGGTCTGTGGACGGTAGCCGGGTGAGGAAGAGGAGGGAGGGGGTGTTAACAAGGCCGCCTCAGGCAGGGCGCAGGCTGGGCCGGCCGCGGGGCGGCCACACTTACCCACATTTACACACGAGCCCTGCTTCGAGCCAAGAGCTTGGTATACGTCGCTCAGTCTGGGGGCCACATGCTGTCACTGCCCACACGTTAGCAGTGGGAGACCACGTCCCCAGACGTCACATGTTTTCCCGTGGTCACAGCTGCAGGTGCATCTCAAGTCCGGTCCCAAACACAGAGCTCCCAACTGCTGGCTGTCGTAGGAAAGCTCTAGAAAAGTCTTAAGGAAGTGTGGTCTTTCTTTCGCATCAGAATCAGGGTGAGGAGGGTGAGTTTCTTAAAGATGCAGATTCCTGGGTTTGGATCTGCTGACTAAGGATTTCGGGGCCGGGTGTCCCCCCAGGGGTAAGACCTGCCTGTCTCCCCAGAACGTCCCAGAGTCCAGAAGACCCAGAGGTCCTTGGGGTATAACTTCCTCTGGGGTAAATCAGCCCGGGGGGGCGGGGGATTCAGAGTTATTCTACCACATTCTTCTTGGGGTGGAGGGTCGGTCCAGGCTCAGGGTGACCCCTCTCCCCTCCTTCCGTACGGAGGGTCCTGGGTCATTGCCTGCTTCAACGTACAAGGAGCCCGAGGGTCTCTGAAGTGGCCCTGGAGAGTCCCAGGGTGCCTGGCAGATTTGCCTGGGTCTGACTCCAAATCAGAACTTTCTAGCGACTAAAGTTTGTTCAGACTAGTTCCTGCCTTGGGAGGCTTCACAGGCTTAACGGCTCGACAGCGGGGGCTAGCATGAGTGAGGCTGCTCACTGGCGTGTGCCCAGCCTCTCCTGTTGTGGGGCTCCGGGTGCCCCTGCCACAGAGTCGGGGGTCCCGTGAGAAGTGGATCGCTCAGGGCCCCGGAGCCATGGAGGTCAAGGCGAGGAGGCACATCCCTCTGCCAAAGCCCGCGCCCTCTCTGTGATAGCAGCAAGTGACGTCACAGAGACCCTTCACCTGCCCTCCTCACTCTCGGTCACTCACTCACGCGGCATTTATTGAGCACCTCCTACAAGCCGGGCACCCTTCTCGGGAGACCGTGCTGAGCGTGCGGCTTGACGCCTGCCCTCGGGGGGCACAGGGTCAGAGCAAGGAGCGCGCGAGTCCTACTGTGCGCACTGTAGACACGCAGGCCAGCGAGTCAGACAGGGTGTCTGCCGTCGGGTCAGCCGTGGGGGGAGGGGTGTCTGCCATCGGGTCAGCCGTGGGGGGAGGGGGGTGTCTGCCATCGGGCCAGCAGTAAAGGGAGGGGTGAACAGAGGGGGGCCGCATGACCCAGGGTAACCGGGCAGGAGGCCGTACGGCCTCAGTTCTCTTGGCTCGAGAAGACGGCCATGTGGCATCCGCTCGGACGCGTCCCAGGAACCTGCAAATGTCTCCTGGCCCCAAGGCCACCCGAGAGGGGGTGCTGGGGTGGTCAGCACGCACTGCTGAGAGGATCCCAGGCTCCGGGCCAGACACTCGGCCGCCAGCTAGGGCCTCGGACACACGTCTTAACGTCTGTGAGGTCCTCGGGAACGAGGTGCCAGCCCCGGCTTTACTGGGGTCCCAGCGGCTGTCACTTCAGTCTGTCACCGTGCTCAGCTTGGACGCAGCTCTCCGCGTGCACATGGACCCCCTTCCCCCCTGAGAGTGGCCGGGGCTGACGGTCCTGTGCGCCCCTCGAGGCCTGCATCGAAGGGGCTGGGGGTTCTGGGGCCGGAGGGACGGGGTCTCTGGGGAGCTCCGCAGAGCAGTGAGGCACCAGGTTCGACGGGGAAGGGACGCCCAGGGTGCCGGCCAGGCAGAGCGGTGGTTCCAATTTTGTTCCAGAAACAAAGAAATTAGCGAATGCAGCGTGGAGGCAGAGACAAACTGAAGGACAGACAGGCAGTGTCTGGAACACCACCATTTGTAGGCACTGGGGGGAGGCGTGCTGTCGCCCTGCTGGCTTCCAGGAGGGGCAGGGCGGCCTCTGGGCACAGGCCCGCGACTGCGGCAGGGGCGCCCAGAGCCCGTGACGGAAGAGGCTGAGCACCCGCCAGCGAGCGGCCTCACCCCTGAGGCCCCCGCTGTCGAGCCGTTAAGCCTGTGAGGTTTCCCAGGGCAGGGGTGCAGTGGGCCCTCCAGCTGGGGCCCGGCCAGGGATGCTCTGTGCCCACGAGGTGTACCAGCCGTCCCGAGGCGTTCCTGAGCTTCGATCCTGGATAGGGATTGAAGTAAAACACTGCGGTTTCTTTCATGTGGTTTTCTTCCTTAGATTATCCATTTTTCTCCCTATAATGTGAAAAAATGGTCGCTTTTCTTGGTGCCGTCTATTTTGGTATACGTGTAGATACGTGTATGTGGTGTATTTTGGTGTGGAACGTTCCTCGGTCTTGCAGAATTAGCCTGCAGCCCTTTCTAAAAGCACAGGGTTCCTTACCCCCTCGCTGGCAGGGTGGGGGCACCACCTTAGCACACGTGCTCTTAATGCACATTTAATGTCTGGATTCTGTTAGAAACAGAAGGGCCAGGGAGATACCCCGTAAGAGATCACATAGTTTGTGTGCCCCTCGGACCTCGGAAGAGTGATGGTGGTCACTGTGGTGGCGATGCTGAGATGTGATGCGGCATAATCTGGGAGCCCCGGACGCAGCCATCACGTCAGCACGAGGCAGCTGCTGGGAAAGAATCTGCTGCACCCCTACCCCGGGGACCGCCTTACAGTCTCAGGAAAGGGGACGGCCGCCATCATCGCCTTGTGGGTGAGAATAACAGGCGCACAGCGATCCCGTCTCTCAGCAGGGGACACAATGCGCGCTCACAGCAGGTGTTTGGTCCGACGTGGTGGGAAATGATGTGGACCGTGGGGGGACCTGGCTCCGGTGCCAGGACGGGAAGGGAGCCAAGGGCTCCGGCTGCAGGAAGGACCTTGTTGTGAGGGTCTGAGTCCTTCCTGGGCTCCCACTCACTCCTTCTCTTCCTCTTCTTTCTGCATTCAGCATGATCTACACTCTAGTGAGCTCTTAACCCGGGCCGCACAGGTCATCAGAGACGGGGACGGGAGAGGCTCGAGGCGGAGTCCTCGCGACTGGCTGGCGGTTGGAGAAGGGCCCGGACTGGGGTGCGTGAGAGACACCTGCGGACGGCGGATTCCTGCGGCAGCGGGGACCGAGGTCACGGGGCGTGGGGGTCGCTGCCCAGCCCGCACCCAGGTGGCGATCCCGTCTGGGCCACGGGACCTCTCCTGAGCAAGGACTGTTGCTGCCTGAGTGACCCCCGCCCCTCTGAGCACCCCGTGCGGTCCACAGTGAGCCCGGGACCGCGGGCGGGGGGTGGGGGGGCACAACCGGCAGGCCACAAACTGCCTGCCCAGGAACAGAATGACCCAGGACCTGCTGAGGCCTCCAGGGTGTCGCGGGCTACCCGAGCCCTCTGTGTGTCCTCGGAGCCCCGCCGCACCCTGCGCTTCCGCGGGAGGGTCTGCGGGGGCGCGGATTCGCCATTGGCTCCCACCGGCCCCGAGCCCGCGGGCGGCCTGTTTTCGCGCTCCGCTTTGTGGGAGTCGGCCCGGCGACACTGGGAGCTGGGGCTCGGGCTGCTGGCCATGAATTATGTCCGAAGTCAGAGGGGAGGCGGGAATCGGAGGGAAGAATGATTTTTTAAAGCCTTTTCACGTTCAAAGTGTTCTTTGCCACCACAAACTGTGTTCTCCCGCTGTCGGTCCAAAACCGTCGCAGAATCAACGAAGGCAAATCGACCGGTCGACGTCGTCAACGCCTGTCTTCTTCTTAAGGACCCCAAACAGCGGCGCCCGGGAAACGCCCTGCACCTGCTCTGTGCTGTGTGCATCGGGCGGCCAGGAGGCGAGACGGCGCAATTACAGCCTCCTTTTGTGATGCTACGTCATTCGTTCTGTTAGTGCCACTCGAGGACTTTGGCTTATTTAGAATTTTCCCTCTGACGTCCTCTCCTGTTTGGGTAGGAGGTGTCCTTGGGGTTGTAAATAATGACAAGGCTGAGGTTTTTATGTTTAAATTGGGCACGATGATTTCTACCTTATTCCCCACACTTCCCTCTCTTCTGTGTGACACACACACAGGCTATTTATACACGTGCTCGGCTCCCGTTGGAACCGGTGACTCAGGTTTGTGAATGGTGTCTGTGCCGCGCGTCGTGAGCTATGTTTAAAACGCAGTGACAGCTTGTGCGCCACACCTACCCGGCCGCCTCATTTAAACCCCTCGCAGGCTGGCTGCCTCTCCGTACGGGCGGTGAACTGGCAGGTAGGGAGGAAAAGTTTCAAAAAGCTGTTCCGTTTCTAAAAATTCTGTAGGGAACAAAAAACTCAGGCTTCCGCTCTGAGGCTGAAGGTATAAAACCGGAGGATTCCAGGGGGCATTTTGGGGAGCAGACTCCCCTCTGTCCAGGGCGCACCGTGCCGGCTGCGTAACGGAGGCCGGGGGAGAGCGGCCTTCGGGGCTGCTGGGCCTCACCTCCGAGGTGGCCTGAGAAGGCCACCTGCGCGTGACCCTCGCCCCCACATGTCTCTCCCAGGAGCGGTCGCCTTCGTTTTTGTACTTTGCCTCCTTCCCAAAAGGCGACAAGTGGCTCGTGATGGCAGACACAGGGACACAGAGACCGCTAGAGTGGAGGGAGGGGATTCACACACACGCCTTCCCCGAGGTTCTGCTTCCCGCAGTTGAGCATTTCTTCGCAGCAAATCGTGGCGGCTCACGTTCGCCTGGGGCTTCATCGTCCGCAGATTGATTTCGTTCCTTTGATCTCCTCGCCCTCCTGTGGGGCTGACACGATCCTTTTCCCCATTTTCTTTCTTTTCTTATTTTTAAAATGTTTTTATTTTTTGAGAAACCGAACACAAGTGGGGGGAGGGACACAGAAAGAGGGAGACGCAGACTCGGAAGCCGGCTCCAGGCTCTGAGCTGTCAGCCCAGAGCCCGACGTGGGGCTCGAACCCACGAACTGAGATCATGACCTGAGCCGAAGTTGGGCACTTAACCTGGGACACCCAGGTGCCCCCCATCTCCCCCATTTCCCAAGTGAGGAAGGGAAGGCTCAGAGAGGGTGAGTGACTTACCTGTAGTCACGCAGCAGCCACAGACCTGTCTTTAAACCCAGATCGTCTGACTTCGAAAACCCCATGTCTTTTCCATCACCTGAAAGCCAGCAAAGTAGCTTGGGCTCCCGATAAGGTTCAGTGAGCATAAATTCTGAGAAAAGGAGATTTAGAGGCAGAGCGGGAGAAAAAGTGGCTGGGCTTCTTTTCCTTGGGCCCCAGCCTCAGACCTGCTGTACCGTGTCAGGTTCTTTCCGAAGGGGGTCCCTTGAAAGCTTTAAAAGCTGGCAGCACGCCCTGGGAGCGTCTTGTGCTTCTGAAAGAGGGACATCCGAGTACTTCCCTCCCCTGAGCTGTGGCTGGGACCCAAGTCCACCGGTCTGTCCGGAGCTTGAGCCCATTTTCAGTTCCTGGGAGAAGCGGACGGTGACCACAGGGCTGAGAGCAGTGGGCACCCTGTTGGAGCCGTGCTGGGTGCCGGGCTCTGGGCCACGACCCCTGACACACGGCGACCCCACGTTACCCACCAGGAAGCCAGGGAGGCTCTGGCCGGTGCGGCTGCCCCAGTGAAGGAGCCAGCAGACAGGTCTCGGTGCTGTGCCCGGTGACCAGCTAAGAACCACACTTGTTGGGCGGGCACAGCTGCCCGCTGGGTACCTTCGCCATCACTGTTCATCCCACAGAAGTGACCTAAGGAGGGAGGAGAGTGGGGCAGGGGCAGTGCTCTGGGTGAATCCCAAAGTGGCTGATGGACGGCGCTCCCTCCCCGGCCCGGGCCTGGGCACCCAAGAGAGAGCTTCTCGGGGACACAGACATTGGGAGGGCGCTGCTGTGACTGGCTCCTGCCTCCTCAGAGAGGCAGCGCTGCAGGCCTGATGGCCGCGCCCGAAGGGGGAGCGCAGGCCCCAAGGTGGGGAGGGGGGGGTCACTTCAGCTTCTTTTTCACGGTGGTGAGTGAAGTTTGTAACGGCACCCGCCGCACTCACTTGTTATAAAGGTCCGACGTGCTCAGGGCCCTGCATGCGGTAAGTTCGGTAAGAGGCCCCCACTCCACAGGAGGCGGTGTCCTCACTGTGCCCTGCGCCCTGCGCCCTGCGCCCAGGCAGGGCAGGGGCCCCACCTGGACCAGCTGTCCTCCCGGTGCCTCGTTCCGGAGGCACCACCTCGGGGAGGGCCACGGCTGGAGGAGGGAGAACAGGAGTGGCTGTCCCAGGAGGGTGGCTCCTGGCATACCTCCTGTCTGCTCAGCGTAAACGACTTCATGATCGGTCTTGGGCAAGCTTCCCGGCCTCCCTGCGGCTCGGCCTTCTCATCTGTAAAGTGGGGCAGTCATACCTCCCTGGCTGGTGTGCTTGTGACAACCAGGGGCCCTGTCTTGTAACGAGCCCTCCACAAACCGTGGTCCTCCGCGCTCAGCTCCCCTCCGCGCCCCCGCAGACTTGAAAGGAGCCTTTACTAGAACCACAGAGCACTTCCCCTCGTGGGCCACGCCCACGGCTAGTGAACCTTAGCTGCCTTCCTCCCGCCCATCCCGGGCCTGCTGTCCCAGGCACGCGACCCGGGTAACCGCCCAACCCTCTCAACAGGATCTTCCCCTTGCTTCCTGTTTTCAGGTGTGGGAATCGCAATAAAGTTGTCGCTGTTAAGACAGTTTTGTTCTCCCGCGTAAGAGATGAGTACAGCCAGCACAGGCTTCGAGGACGATCACTCGTGCTCACGCTGTGTCCCTGCACACACCCTCGTCTCCACCTCTCCCTTCCTGGGACGTGGGCTTGCTCCTTTCCAAACTGGGCGCTGGGGAGAGCAGTCCGGATGTCAGGGGCGGGCTGTGCAAGCTGGACGTGGCGGGCCACCCCAGCCCCGAGGCTTGGGCGGAGGGCTGCGGCCACCCTGGGTGCCGGACGAGGCCCCCGCGGCGTTCCCTGGGTTGCGTTCCCGCTGTCCCTGTGCCCGGGAGCCGTGCAGGGTGACAGGCCACGAAGCAGAGCCCCCCGGGTCTCCCCCACGTGGCCAAGTCCTATCTGCTCCCGTTAAGCTCCTGGGTGCCCAGGAGTGTCTTCGTGGGCTGAACTTGACCCCTTGGACGCCACGTGATGCCCGCACGTTCCTCCTTCCCAGCTGGCCGAGTGCGAGGCTTGTGCGAGCCGGTCGATACATTTTGTCGGGAGTTTGCTAATCTGCCGTCCGTGCACGGCCCTTACTAAAACTGCTTATGTGAGCTTACAACTAAATAAATTATATTCAAAACAAAGGTGACGTGTAGTCACAGCTCCCCACCTCCTGATTATTTCAATACGTTTTCCTGTTATCTGTGCTCCTGAGGGCGCGACTGTGGCGCCCACGCGGAAATGTTACTCGGCAGGGACAGGACGCCTCACCCTATTCAGGGCCGCTGGTGCCTCGCGACGGGCCGTGGCAGGAGTGTTTGCGACACAGACATTGGCAAAGCTGCGGATCACGTCCCCTGCTCCCCCCTACACCCCTCGCGCTCGCCGTCAGACGTTTACTAGCACGGGGCCCACGTTTACCCACAGACGGTAAGTCCGGCTCCAGGACACCGATGGGGACGCGGGGGCCCTGAGCACTGGAACCCAGTGTCCAAGACCCTCAGGGCCGGACCTGCACCCTCCCCAGCATTGGCACCAGTGGCTGTCACTCCATGTGCTCTGTGTCCCCGAGAGATGACAGGAAAGGAGACTTTTCACTGGCGTGTCATGAGGGCCTGGGCTTGGGCGTGACATAAGTGAAATACTCTGCTGAGCGCGAGCATGGTTTTGTGCTTGGACCCTGACCCCACACCCTTGAGTTCCCTTGGGGACCACTGTCCTGTGAGGGGGGCATCCCTTCCCAGGGACTCCCACGTCCTCCCACAGCTGGACCCACGCATCTTAGGTGGGTGCTGGGGTGAGGACCGACCGTACTCGGCCACATTCTCCACCCCGCGGGCGGTCTCACGAGGGGCCCCAGGTGTCTCGGGGGCTTGGCTGAGCTTTGCACGCAGAATCGGCTCGGTGAGCACAGCTCCTCCCTGGACCAGGCACCCCAGGGGCAAACACACAGCTTTTGGTTTCGAGATGCACCAGCACCAGGAGGCTGTTTGGCTCCTAGAGGGTGACTTACCTACCACCACGGCATTTCCGTCCCAAACGCCGTGATGGGGCCCCGAGCGGCAGACCCTGTCTCTTTCAGAGACACCTGGTACCTCAGAGAAACAGCACCACCTTCCCCTGAGAGCTGGATAAACGCCAGTCCCCGTGTGAAGTTATGGTGAGACACCTCCATCAGGCCCCAGGGCCGCAATGGAGACAGCAGGCGCGGAGCTGGAAGCTTCCAGGGAAGGCTGGCTGGTTAATGGCATCAGAGCACAGGTCCTGTGATGCTGTTCTGATTTTCCCGCAGCTCCACGGAGAGTAAGTTTGCTTTGGGGTGGCCTTCTGGGCTCCGCAGGCCGCAGAAAGCCCTGTCCACAGAGGGGACCAGGGCTCCGCGTCATGCCCAGACCCCAGGGACGGCCTGCACCCTGCACCCTGGGCAACTGGTCTTCAAAACCAGCAACTCTTTGTGTTGAAGGAACATTTCACGACTGGATGAAGACAATTTAGCGCTTGCCTCCCAGGGAAGCAGAAGGGACACAGCCGCGTGTCCGGCAGCGGCCACGTCTGAAACGAGAAAATGAGACGCGTGTCACTTAGGGCTGCATTACTGGGAGACGCCCGTCCTAGGTCTGGGGAAGCTCGCAGTTGGGGAGCCCAACCCACGCCAGGCCCAGGGGGTCAGAGCAGTGGGATGACGGGACTTCCTAGGGAGACGCAGGGGCCCCATGAGCGCTGGTTCCTCGGGCAGCGGCATCCTGGACACTGGAAGGTCGTCCGGATGGGGCGCGAGGGCCTGGCACTGAGCCCTGTCCCGTTCAATGGTTAGTATCATCCGTGACTCTCACGTGAAGGCCACCGATCAATCCCAGGAGGACACAAAGCTGAACACGATCCCGTCAGGACAGGCTCAGAATAGGAGCCGAGGCTCCGAGAAAGCAGGAAAATCCAGGCGGGGCGAGGAGCCCAGGGCGTCTGGTGGGCAGTGGGTCCTGGCGCTGAGCTGAGGTAGGGTCAGCTTGGGAGGCCCCTTTGTGGAAAGCGAGGGTGGGTCCCCAGCGTCCTCGGCCGCCGCCAGCAATCCCGAGGGGCACTGTTCAGCTTGCGGCCGCGTGCTTTACGAGGGATACCGGGAAATCGCATGTGCCCGGAGCAGGGCGTCCAGAGTCCCTTTGGTAGGCTGGGCAGAGAAGCTTCGAGAAGACTGTCTACAAAGAATCCAAGGTGCCACGAGGGCGGAGGGCAGGGCCGGGGTGGAAACACCCTGCCCCTCCTTCCAGGGCGGTTCTGGAGGTGCCGCAGGTGGAATTGGAGCTCTGTGCTCGCACACCTGTAGGAAGGGCAGGGCCACGCGCCCCGCAGACTGTCCCCAACCTCCCTGCGCAGGGAACTCTGGTCACGGCGTCACAGGGGGAAGGCTTGCAGGGCACTGGCTGTGAACTGCAGCCGTGGGGAGGAGTGGGGCACGTCGGAGGGGGTGGGATGGGTCCACGAGGGGAGCTAAGGATCGGAATGAGTGTGCGAAAGCGGGCTTGCCCCAAATTGGACAACAGCGTAATAGTTAGTCCACAGAATCCAAATGCAGATAAAGGCAGGAAGGGCTCGATTCAGGATCCCATGGATTATAAACTCTCTCTTTTTTTTAAGTTTATTTATTTTGAGAAAGTGCGGGAGCAGCAGAGAGAGAGAGAGGGAGAGAGAATCCCAGGCAGACTCCACACTGGCAGCACGGAGCCCGACGCGGGCTCAGTCCCACGAACTGTGAGATCGTGACCTGAGCGGAAACCAAGGGTCAGATGCTTACCCGACGGAGCCCCCAGGCGCCCCGTAAGCTCTTGGAGGACAGGTTTGCATTAGGAAGCTCCAGACCTGGGCTTAGCTCGTATTAGGACGCAGCAAGTAGATGCCGAATGGAACGCGGATCACTTGTGGAATCAGCGGGAAGCAGAGAGAGCTGCTCGGGGTGTTAGGAGCCGGTGTCCTGGGAGGAAGGCGGGGGAATGACTTCAACCCCAACTACTTCCGCAACATCACCCATGGTGCGGGCCCAGCTTTGGGGCCGGTGGGCCTGGTCCCAGGGAGACCGGGGCAGTGGGCAGGGTGCAGCCGGGCCCTGGGGGTCTTGTGGCTCCGGCCGTGGGGTCACCATGAGCCCGACTCCATCTTCCATGCATTTGCCCACATCTGGGCCCGCGGATGAGACAGCCTGTGTGCTCCCCCCCCTCGATGTCGGTGGGGAGATCCAGCCACACACAAGCCGGCCTGTGCGACGGACCCCTTGCCGAGCCCCACCCCTGGTCACAATAGAAGCCGGGGCCCGCCCCCTCGCCACTCTCACACCCTCCTGTTGGGGGCCTGCCCCACTCCCCCGAGAGACCCATCCTGTCGGTGATTAGACTCGCGTTTTGAGTGGGGGTTGGCGCAGCCTCCACCCCAGGGCGAGCAAGACCCGTGGCGACAGGTAGACCCTGGATGCAACGGAGGCTGGTCAGCGGCCCGTGTCACGGTCCCCGGGAGACGCTGCTGGCAGGGGGCCTTCCGGGAGCCCCTTGGAGGCTGGGCCCTTCCATCCCCAGGCCCCACCCATTCAAGGCCCCTGGGCTTGACCGTGCTGTGCACAGACCGGCGGGGGCAGGGACAGTCGCACCACAGGCCTGTGAGGGGGCAGGTGCGAGCCGTGCACACTGTCCTCACTGTCCGTGGCCCGGGGCTCACCAGCCGCACGGAAGGCGCCGTGCAGCCCGTGGTTCGGTGAGCGACGCCATCGGTGGGTCATGGAGGGAGGGGTTAGAGGAGAGAAAACTCTGGGCTAGTGCCGCACGTTTGTAATTAACCTTCTGGACAAAGAGAGGGGAAGGCGGTACTTTTCTCCGTAATATCCTTTGCGGCTGATTTTCATCCTCGAGGACTGCCTTCCAGAGCCTCGCTGGTGGCAGCGGGGTGTTGTCGGGGGCAGGAAGGTATGGGGTCCCGTCCCCTTTGAATTGGACTCTGCAGTTTGTCCACTCACCCACACCCATGCATACTCACGTGTGCTCACTCACACACACACTCATATACACACTCGCATGTGCTCACACACACTCATATACACACTCACATGTGCTCTCACACACTCATATACACACTCACATGTGCTCACACACTCATGCACGCTCTCACATTCACCCCCACGCCCACATGTGCTCACACACATACATGTGCAAACATGTCTTACAGTCACTCATACACGTGCACACGTGCTCACACACACTCACCCACATACCCACATGTGCTCACACACACATACACGCACACACATGTGCTCGCACACACTCATGCATGTGCCCACATGTGCTTGTGCTCACTCATACACGTGCACACGTGCTCACACTCACTCATGCACTCGCACACATTCACCCCACACACCCACATGTGCTCACACTCACGTGCACACACCCACACACTCGTGTGTGCACGCTCACACACGCATGCCCACACGCACACTCATGCACACTCTCACACATTCACCCCACACACCTACATGCACTCACATCCATACACTCTCATATCAGGTACCACACTTACACACAGGCATACACTCACATCACACACCGCCTACCCACACACACCCACATGTACACACACCCTCATACACCCCCTCACAGTCTTCTACATTCACCCACACTTACACATACCACACACATATGCAGTCACATTCACACATATGCTCACACACATACACATGCACACACATGCAAATGCTCTTACATCACACACCACACCCACACACACCCCCACTCACACACGCACACACATTCACATGCTCTCACGTCGCACGCCCACACACATCCGCACAAACTCTCATAGCATATACCATACTCAGCCCTACACACTCACGCATGTGTACACACGCTCACACGCACGGACACACACACCACACACACGTTTACACTCTCACGCATGTACACACAGACGTGCTCTTACGTCACATACACATTCTGACGTATTCACCCACACCTTTACACACTCACACATATACTCACACACTCTCACAGCACATACCACACTCTTACACACACCACACACACACCTCGTATACACACCTTCACCCACACACCATACACATATACACACACACCCCCATACTCTCACATGTGCACTCACACATACACACTCACATATGTGCACGCACACACTCACACCCGCTGTTTCTCAAGGTCAGTCCCTCGGGTCCCCTGTCCTTCTAAGCCTCTGGTGAGAAGGAAAAGGAAGAGGCAGGAGACCAGGAGGGGAGGGAGGGCTGAGGGCAGAGAGGAGAGGACATCAGTCGGCTGTTTTAAGGACATGAAAGCCCTCTCCTAAGTCGTTACGGTCTTGCCAGTTCATTTCTTTCAAATGGAGTTAAAAGGTAATCTGATAGGTTTCATTATCTTCACAAATAATTCATAAATTCAGATGAACTCGGAACCACGACATAGCGTGTGGGAAGATTTCAAGGTCTGACAAGGTGATAATTATGGGGCCACGCTGGAGCTGACAGCCGGCGTTGCAGTGATCTCCTTCCATTGAAATTCTCTGTGTGATTAGGAAAAAGGCAACGAACGGAGTTCAGTGGGCGCTCCTGCCCCAGCGCAGCACCCAAGAGGTGTGTGGCGTGTGTGCGCGGGTGGCTTCGTGGGCAGAGGACTCTCGTGCGTAGCCAATGACAAGAGCAGCACAGATGTCTGCAGAAGAAGGGCGTGTTCAGCTGCAGAAGCCTGAGAGAGTCAGAACTCTGTTATCAGCACAAGCCAGCTCATGTGCGAGAGCTACTGCTCTGCTCAGTCTGGACACGCATCTCTGAGGTGAAGACAGAGCACACGTGTTTGTGTGGTGGACCAGAAGGAAAGCCAATGACTTCTGGAAGGAATACGGCATTGCTTTGTGCTGAGTGCGCTTAAGTTGGCAGAGTATCTTCTATAACCTTGACATACATGTAAGCTCATGAAATAAACCATGAGTTTCAGGATAACCACACAGTGAGTGCCATCCATCCATCATACATCCTCCATCACCCCCATCCTCCATCACTCCATCCCTCCATCCCTCCATCCACCTACCTATCCGTCGATCCACTCATCCATCCACCCACCTATCCATCATCCACTCATCCATCTATCCATCCACCTATCCATACACCCGTCCATACATCCCTCCATCCATCCACCCACCCATCCATCTACCCATCCATCCCTCCATCCATCCACCCACCCACCCATCCACCCACCCACCTATCCACCCATCCATCTATCCATCCACTCATCCATCCAGCCACCTATCCACCCACCCATCCACCCATTCATCCATCCATCCATCCACCCACTTATCCATCCACCCATCCATCTACCCATCCATCAATCCATCTATCTATCTATCTATCTATCTATCTATC